ATTCGTCTCTACCTGACACCTGTACCGTTCTCGCTCTCTTGAGCTGTTCACGCATTCGGCAAATGTTGGACAATTCTGGCGCGTTTGTTGAATGTTCTCTACGTAAATGTTTATGCCGATGACCGCAGTGCGGTTTCGTCATAAAGAGCATAGCAGAGACGCTGCCAGCGATCTGTCGCTTCCCATACGGCAAATACCTTCCTCTCTGCACCCCTCCTCGCCCTCTTCTCCCTCTCTTTCTCTCTCTCTCTCTCTCTCACTCTCACTCTCTCTCTCTCTCTCTCTCTCACTCTCACTCTCTCTCTCTCTCTCTCTCTCTCTCTCTCTCTCTCTCTCTCTCTCTCTCTCTCTCTCCCTCTCTCCCTCCCCTCTCTCTCTCCCTCCCTCCCTCCCTCCCTCCCTCCCTCTCTCTCTCTCTCTCTCTCTCTCTCTCTCTCTCTATCTCATCAGCATATATAAATATAGAGAGATAGAAATAGAGAGATACCTCTATATCTTCTTCTCTCTCGCTTCACTCCCTCTCCCTCTCTCCCTGCGTTTTCCCTCTTATCGTCACAGTTTGGCCGAACGACCGGCCGTCCGGCAGTCGTGTCTCGCGGGTCGCTCGGACTTCCATCGCCCCCCACTAGTCGACGGCGTCTCCCTGGGGACAGAATCACCGCTCGCGGCGATCCGCCGCGTCGCTGCTCGATCACTCTCTGGGGCCACCGATGACGTCACCAACAGCTGGCGCACCACGGTGGACTTTCTCTTCTTTCGTTCTCTTTTCTGTGCAGTGTCATTGTTTTATTCCGTTTTGCTCTGCTACGCTTTGCTCTGCTCTCCTGTCCTCTCCTGTCCCCTCCTGTCCTCCAGCTCCTCTTATTTCCTCTTTCCGGTCCTCTCTTTTTCTTTTCTATTCACTGTTTTTATTTTGTCTCCTTTCCCCTGAAGAAATTCAGCCACGTAAATATTGTGTTGCACCTCGTTGCGACTTTTGCTTTCAGCATCCGAGAACTCTGATTTAAGTGACGATAGGTTGGGCATCTGTCGGTGTTTGTGTTACCACCTCTGCGTCGCTGGCTATGCAGACGATTGTCCGTCGACAACAATCGCTGACGCCGCTGACGGTGATCTTGAAGACGACTGATGGTGATCTCTGACATTTCTGTCGATCAGAGACGACTGACTCTCTGAAACGACTGACACGATCGTCGATCGATGATCGACTCGATCTCTGATATGACGTCGATCATGGACGACTGACAGTTATCTCCAAGACGGCTGACTCGATCTCTGATATTCTGACGATCAGAGACGGCTGACTCGATCTCTGATATCCTGACGATCAAAGACGATTGACTCGATCTCTGATATTGTGTCAATCAGAGACTACTGACAGTGATTTCTGATATCCTGACGATCAGAGACGGCTGACTCGATCTCTGATATTGCTGTCGTTCAGAGACGGCTGACAGTGATCTTTGAGACGACTGACGGTGATCTCTGATATCCTGACGATCAGAGACGGCTGACTCGATCTCTGATATCCTGACGATCAGAGACGATTGACTCGATCTCTGATGATGCTGTCGTTCAGAGCCGACTGACTCGATCTCTGATATCCTGTCGATCAGAGACAGCTGATGGTGATAGGCTGCGTTGCCGCTGACGTGGCGATGCCCGCGTCGTGCCGGCTCGCTCTTGACGCGTGTATTATGCATGCAGCCGTCTGTTGACGACGCGTGTTGTCATATATCTTAGGGGAGCGTCCTCGTGCGACCATATTTACAACACAGGACGTTAAAGAAGAATATTTTTGAAAGTGTAAAACTGGGAGTAGAGAACTCAGCGTTTTCATTATCTAAAAATAATGCATTTTATTGTTAGGGAATGGAAGCTGCTGGCAATACTCTTCAATAACAAGTAATCATTACATAGTGTTCTAGTCTTGACATGATGAAATATTATTGGCTCTAGCATTCAGTTTGGAAAATGTAGATCGTCTTTGCAGCCATGCTGCCGCCCACTAGCCTTCCCTGGTAAGTGACCCGGAGCTGATCTTTTTGCCTGCACTTTGTGACGTCACTGGGTCGTTAATAAAGTGGCACTGACTCGTCCAGAGGCAATCTCTGGGTGTGCGCGCTGCGATCGTGTGAGCGGTGTACGGTGTTTGCCACTCGGTGGTTTGGAGTCCAATAAGGCAGTGGAGGCGCCTCTGGGCAGCGGCGGAGAGTTTCCTCAGGCGCCGCTACCATCTCAATTACACCGACACACCGTGTAGAAAACAACCATTTCAGACCAGCTCCCTCAGCCTGTTAACCAATGCTCCGACCGGCAGGGCACTAGGCGATTGGATCGTGCGCTGGGGCTCAATTTGGTTTCAAATGTGCGAAAAGCACAAAAATGACTGAATTGTCTTACGGCCTTGGCCATTGTGAAATGACAATTATTTTCCCTCAACAAAGGTGTGAATTCGGACATTTCAAATCCCTCGATTTATAGCACACTACATGTTTCGACAATTTTAGGTTTGCATTGGCCTACTGCTTAGTTTATGCTTAATTATGCTCGAGCGTGGACATGAAAAAGGTTACCATTGAGCCAACGACGCTACGCCTCTTTTCATGAAAAACTAGCCACCGACGAACAAGAAATAAGGCGTAAAAGCCTCAAAGAAAAAGGAAACGGATGGGCGTAAATTCAGCACATATTGAATCGGCATATAGCAATACCGGGGTACCAATCGAGTCAAATCCGCTCCTTCTCACACGTTGAGACGACTATAGTTCGTTTTTTTCAAAGGACGCTGGCTCCAAGTATGTTTTTCGAAAAAGCACGTGTTTTAGCGAGCAAAACGAGCAAAAACTGAACCTGACAAATCGAACGTCGACTAATTTTAACATGTGATTTCTTCCCGATAATTTCCATATGTGCGTTTTGGAACCATATATGAGAACAGTGGTGACGTCATACTGCCGAACATGTATTGCAATGTAACTTATAACTATCATGGACAGAACTGCTTACTCGATTATAAGCTCGGCAACAGTGAAAAACTAAGTTTCACCCAAATTCGTTGACACTTGTCCCATTGCACGGACATTTGGGTGCCTGCTGCCACCAGTGACGTCATCATAGTATGTTCATTTTTAAGAAACAATTTCCAGCTACTTACCGTGCACAATTTGAAATCGGCTATTTTTTCGGTAAGAAATTCTTCGCCAGACACTGAAGCTGCCAAAACTCACGTGAGAGCTTCGATATTGAACTTTGAGCCAGCGTCCTTTTGAAAAAAAAAAACGAACTATAAGGAATGTATTAGACATGCAATCAGTGGCCAGCGTATAAGACGTCAATGGGCCCAGGTGCCCTGAGTTCATCAGCCTCGCATTGAGTCTCATTGGTCGGTGGCAAGGACCAATTGCGCTGGCCAGCGTAATGCAATAGCCGTTCGCTCGCTGCCGGATGCACACCCAATCAGAGGAGTTTATTCACACTCCTGTATGCAGAACAACTCCGATTGAGTCGTGTAAGATGGGACTATGATTGCATTACATTTATGAAAAGTGGTTGTAAAAAAGGCAGGTAATAAGATACACGTTTTTTGTGAGAACCAAAGTTACTAGAATGCCCTTTTGATTTTCATTTTGGTTTTGTGTAGGTTCTTTGTATCAGTAAAACTGTCAGAGCTCAAGTCTCAGGTGTCAATTGATTGACAGAGGCTATGTACTCATATGTAGGCCTCAAGTGAGAAATGATTTTGACCCGGCTGTGTCTAAATGCACTGTCCATAAATGTTCATGATTTTACATGTGGAACGAAAATTCAAAAAAGCTAATTTTGATCTCAAATTACAATAAGACAACGGTGTAATAGTTTTTACGTGCAAATTTGGATAAATAAAGAAATGAACAGAGAACGATACCAAAATTCAGAATTCTTGCCGTCAGTAGATCACTGAGACTTACTTGACTTGGAACTTATCCACTCCGAATTGGCATAAACGCTTGAACTTAGCCGTTTGATTGGAATTGTGTTTTGTTGCTAAATACGGCGCAGGTCTTCTTGAAATAAAAAAAGTTCGAAATGAGAACGTATGTGCTAGTGTGATTGCACAGCCTTGATTTACTTAAATGTTCCTAATGATGAATTTGGAAAGCGACGACCGAAGCAAAATTCCTTTGACGTAACAGAACGAGTTTTTAAATGTGATTTCAGATGTCACAAGCCCCTTGCCCATTGCCTGGCTACGAATCTACCGAAAACCGCCGCAATATATTCACTTTTTAATTGGGTGATCTGACAAAATATACCTAATGTCCCTCCCTGCATGCTAACGTCACGCCATGTTTCTGGAACGTTTAAAATGATGGCCAATAAATTTCAGCTGTTGTGCATGACCAACTCGCATGCAAAGGCTCTCCAATTTCATTATTTAAGAACACAGGATCATTCTATCCTTGCCTGAATGATCAAAATGACTTACACAGCTGCTTGATGAAATGTTTCACAAGAGGGCTCAGCGGCCGAGACCTGCAAATGACAAATGATGAACAACCTATGTGAATTATGGTCGCGTGCCCGATTTTTATGCATCCTGCCTACATCCTATAGATAACTCCCCTTATACTTAACTAGAAAATAGATATGCTACACAATATGTTAAAAGTGAAACTCACTTCGCTACCCACTAGGATTCAGATATTGCTAAGGTGCAATTGTTACAACTTCTCGTCTACGTCTACGTCTCAATTTCTTGTCATATTTTACCACCCAACGCTTCTCTTCTTCTACGACACTGTCAACCCTCAATTCAGTTCGCAGTTGGCACCTTAAAACTTTCTCATTCACCCCGCCTGCAGCTAGTCTCTTGACAGATCATCCTGATCCACGGATCACTCTCGGCCGTTCACCCTCCGCGTCACGATCCGAGAAGGTCACGTGACCTTTTCGGGTCACGTGGTACCGCTCAAGGTCACGGTCGCCCGACTCAGCTGGCTGTGTGTTGTAGTCAGTGCAGTGAGATGGCGGCGGTGGGGTGACGGGATGCGATTTCGAGTGACGTGATCTGAGACTGCCTAGGGGCAGAGTGCAGAGTGCAGAGTGAGCAAAAGCCGGAAAGAGTGGAGGGTGTGGTGGGTAGTGTCTATGCACCGCTACGGAGACTTTGCCAGAGCTCTGGCGTTTTCGCTATCTTCACGGAGACTGTACGAGTCAAGCCGTAAGCAGAACACATTCGCTGCTCTGCTGGAGCACCACTACGACAGGCAAGGTCGGTCATGGTAACACATGCATTATTTGCAGGTGCGAATGTCACATTCTTTATCAGAATCATGCGTACAGAATTATGTGTTGAGTCTATTTGGCCTGGGCCCTGGATCTGGTAATGGTGGGGTCTAAATTGTATGAAAGTGGGCGATGACGATGCATGAAGCAAGTCGAGTCTTTTGAGACGCGTGCTTTATGTTTTCTGTCTTATACCTATGGACGTTACTCGCTGGCGTTTCTCGGCTTCTCATTGGTCCACATGATTTTTGCCAATGAGAGACCGACAATGAAGCTACTAAGTAATGATATTTTGACAAGTGAAACGTTATACAGGAATAGAACAAAACTTAGCACGAAACTTACCTTACATTTTTAACACGGCTCCAATCATGATCTTGAACTTGTGAGACAAACGGGGACTTTCGCTTTTTTACCCGAAACGAAGTCGAAAAGCTGTGAGGGGTGACACTAACCACTTAGGCAATAAAGTTAAACTAGGCGTGATGCAACCCTTTGAGAGCTGAGCCTCAGCTGACAAGCATTGTGACTATTCACAGCACTATGTCAACAACAACGCTCGTTAGGGTAGAATGCCATTTGCATTCTAATTAGCTGCGCGAAAGCCGAAAGGTGACCATGCAAGGCTTTAACCTCAGGCGTGGGTTCGCTTTGATCTAAATATCTGCCGCTCGCACTATTGATGTCTAGACTGGAAATTCACCAGCGTACCCTGATTGCAACGATGCAGCTTTTGCGCCTGTCCGCTCCAGTAGCGTTAGCTCTCAAAGTTGGCCTGTGAACATGATCAAAAGGTCAGCCAGGTTCGCAATTCCATCCGCGAAATTCCAGTGGCAGTTATAGTGATGATACGGTTGACGAAAATTGAACTCGGCGAATGGCAGGTGTTATTGCTAACGCTGATCTCATTTCGAGATCCAGGATAGCATATCAAGAACATAGCAAACCGATCTAAAACTGCCTACCTGCTGATGAGCATCAAACGCAAAGGCACCCTGAAACATAGGCGTAGGAACAGGGGGGCCGGGGGGGCCATGGCCCCCCCACTTTCGGAGGTGGGGGGGGGGGGGCAGCAATGTTAACTGGCCCCCCCAATTTTTGCTGACTTAAGTGTCTATCTGTACCTACCACCCGGTACCCTAAACACCAGAACTTGACAACTATTCAGCTTGCCCTTTAGTGAAGATTCCCTTTTGTTTCTACAGCGTTATTGACCGCAATTTCCTTCACTCAATGAAGAAAACCATATCAGAGACAAGACTGTGAGTCCTGGTGCCGCAGCATTTTGTTGATTACGATGCACGGGACGGCGAGCACTGAAAAGGTATACCTAAGACAATACTAGCACGGTGCAGGAGAATGCGTATACAAACGACCAACGCTTGACCAGATCTGCTTCATGGGGTCAGCATAGTTCGTCAAAGGCGTACTAGCTGGGGGCCAGGGTGACCGTGCCCCCGCCTCGGTTCAAACAGGCTGGGGGCTAGCAATGTCTGTATCTGCCCCTCCATTTGCCCCCCCCCCAAACAAACAATGGGCCCCCATGGGCGTATGGGGCTCTGGCACTTATTCGATTGTCACGAGGCTCAAGAATCCCATTCCAGCTATCAACAGCTTCCAAACCAGTCTTTGAGGGTCCTACACTGATCTCGGAGGGCCCTTCAATGGCGGTCAAGCGCCCACATTGACCATTGAGAACCCACATTGACCTCTGAGGGTCCTCCACTGGCATTTGAGGGCCCCTAAACCGGCCTCAAGGGCCCAGCCGACGTCTGAGGGCCTCACACCGGCCTCTGGTGGCCTCATTTCTGTCTCTGGGGTCCCAAGACTAGCCTTTAGGTGCCTCTGAGGGCCCCGCACTGAATTCTGGAGACCCGATGCCGGCCTCTAAGGGTCTGCATCGGCCTCTGAGGGTCCATCTTGGCCTTAGGGGTCCAACGCCGGCCCATGCCGGTCTGTTACGGTCCCACACTGACCTCTAAGGGCCCATGCTGGCCTGCAAGGACCCACCTTAGCCTCTGAGGGCCTTGCACTGGATTCTGAAGACCAATGCTGGCCTCAGAGGCCCATCTTGGTTTTTGAGGGCCTTCTGCTGGCCTCTGGGGTCCAACGCCGGCCCATGCCGGCATTTTCGGGTCCCACAATGACCTCTGAGGGCCCATGTTGGCCTGTAAGGACCCACATTAGCCTCTGATGGCCCAAGTCGGCATCTTAAGGTCTCAAACTGCTCTTTGCAGGCCCTGTACTGGTCTCTGAGGGCCTTAACCCTCGCCGGCCGAGGGGGGGGGGGGGTGCCGCCCCTCCATATAGTTTTTTTTTCGCGATAGCTCCGAACACGCCGGCGATAGAGAGCTGAAGCTTGGCATACCTGACCTTTGAATCAAGCCGGATCTTTTGACACCAACCGCATTTTCGGGTCAGATCAGGTCACTGACCTATGAGGTCATAAGTGAACCTCTGCACGGTCTTCAGATGTCGCAACTTCGCAACGCCCTCACTGCCAGAGGAGATTTCACAGGGCAATGAACCTTGCAGGACCTAGTATCCATTAGGAGTCTCACAACTTGTACATCTCGGATTTTCTTAAGGTCATATGAGGTCAGGTCATTTTCGTGACCTCACCATTAGGTATAAGTCAATGGGGATAAACTGAAAACTTTTTCTGGCGCCGGGAACGATCTCCAACTATCTCAAGCACACCGAATCGTGATTTCATGCACTCCTTGCAAGGTTCGATGCGTCACTTTTGCAATGTTGACCTTGCGCGACGTCATTTATGACGTTATAAGGGTCATATTAGTTTTTCATCAATAACTACCGATCACATTAAGCTAGCGAGTCGGGAAAGCCACCAATGGACTCAGGAAGACCTTCCGAATCGAAGGATATGAGACATGAACTCATTCGACCAATTTCGTGACCTGGGTGCGCTGACCTGACCGTGACCCGAGGTCAACACTCTAAGTTTACCTCACCCAAACAAAAAGTATATCATTCGACGCGCCTGAGAGAGGCTAACACGATGCTGGCAAAATCGCGGCTCTGTGGCCGTTTTTTGCGAAGTTATTCACCAAAAATGGAACTGTGCCTTGAGGCACTTGACTTGACCTCAGGTCAACGGTTGACCTAGGACCTTAAAATCGGGTATCGATCTCTGCGTCTCGTAACGGCGCACACGCTCGTTTTTCCGCGACGCGCTAGCTCCACCTGGGGCGAAACAGCGAGGGGGGTCGTACCTGCTCCCCGCCCCCTCGGCCGGCGCGTATGTAGAAAACTTATAGGTCCGGGCCGGCGAGTGTTAAACGGCCTCTGAGGGCCCAGACCGGCCTCTAAAAGTCCCACACCGGCCTCTGACAGTCAATCAGCCCAGTTGCAGTGGTCGCTAATATAAAACCTCTTAAAAACGTTACAGGCCTGGCTGAGCCTAGCTGGGCCATTCATGCTGATTTTTATAGGTATATTGAAAAGACTCGCTTTGCACATTTCACGCTTGCTCTTAATGAAAAAGCTGCTGGATGCCTCTGGAATTTGCATGGGTGCCAACGGCTGCGGAGGACAGGGGAACGCGTCAATCAGTTTGAGTATATGGACGGGACTCTCCCTGAAATTTAACTACTTTTATTTTTGGTTCTGCCTCGATTTTTTTACCTCTGAGCATGTTTGCGAAAATAAAGTGGCCTAAATCCGAGGAGAAATTGGATTTTGGGGGTAGGTTAGGTTTTAGACCTCTGGGAGCCTGGCCCCCCCCCCCCCACTTTCGAAAACGTTCCTACGCCTATGCCCTGAAACACCACCCAATTCAATGCATTATCTCCACGGGATTCCGTAATATTCTTTCGGCGCATGGCTCATGCTGTCACCATTATCTCAGCTGTCTTCGCCCCTCCCAGCCAGCCTCCCCTCCCCGCAACATTGCCCGTCGTCGCTGGCCGTAGTCGCCGGTCCGTCTGGCCAGCCATCATGCCGCTGTTGGCAGGCGGTGATTTTCTGCACGGCTGGCCGACGGCAGCTGTTTGTCTCCGTCAGTCTCCATCAGGTTGGAGCCCGTGCGGCGGCGTGCGAGCCGCGCTGAGCTGTTTACCTTCGGCCTGGGAGACGCAGCCACCCCCACCACCCCCACCCCCGCCCCCGCCCTCGCCTCCGCCCTCGCCCCCGCCCAGAGGAGCGACCGTGGCAGTCGTCGACGACGCGATGGTCGGTGATGTGCCGTCGAAGGTCTGCAGGCTTGGTTCTGTGGCGATCGAGGGAGGACGACGGTTGCGGTGGTGGTGAGGTTAGTGTTTACATTCAGGGCCGAGAATCGATGATGCAATGATGGTGTTTGGCGGGTGGGTGAGTTGTGAGAAGTATGTGGTGAGATGCGAGCACACATCGCGGTCGGTTCGGATAGGAAAAAAGGTGGCACGAGCGGCGGTGGCGCAACTCTGGACCAAGAACTGCAGCTGGTGATTGATGGATTGGTAGTCGGACTTGACGTTTGTCTCGGATAGAGCTTTACTCGCTGTTCTTGGCATCGAAGAAGATTGAGGGTCGGTCGTTTAGCCTATGGAGTTCTCGTGGGTCGGCCGGCAGGCAGTGTCGGCGCTGTTTTTCGACACAGAATTCGTTTCACAGGACACGCGTCTGGTGGAAGGCGAGGCGATTCTCCAAAGTGGTTGACAACGGGCCATTTTTTGCCGCTCGCATCACAAATGTGTGACCCGCTCACCTTTCAGGAATAGGAAACGCAAACCGGATAACTTTTGTCGTCATTGGACTCCAGATTTGCATTGGATTTTCGACGGTAATGCTTCGCATACAGTAAATGCACCGATTTCTTCCTTTTTTAGTGCGACCCTATCACAGTTTGCGTCGACGGCGATCTTTATTCGCTTTCGCACATGTTTTGCTCTTCCTTTCAACCCCTGTATGGCCATTTGACGTTATATTCCCTAAACGTTCTAGACAAGTCTTTATTTAGGTTCAAACCAATGCCAAGTTCTTTGC